TTTTGATCCAGGCAATTTCTAACCAGACTTTTATTTTCTTCATTCATAGGATCATGGTAAAGGCTTAGTATTTATCAAACCATAGCTTTTCCCCAAAGGAAAGGGAAATGGGAATAGACTAGCTGCTTCAGTAAGCGAAATAGGTGGATAACAAATAAGAGATTAATGGTAGTTTATCAGCGTCTCTTTGCTAAAACTCCTTGTCAAAAGGCTAAGGAAAGACATTGAGAGAAGGCAGGTGTGGGTGCTTTGAGAGTCTATTAGATCTGTGTTCTTGAAGCATCTTAATGATGCTTTTCTTAATGATGCTTATCTTTCTCTACCTTCTAGTATAATTAAAAGGCAAGTTTTCTTCTTGTGAGGCAGTAAGTATAAACTTCAAATAGCAGATGGAAAATAGTTAAAGGGCTTCCATGTGCCTACCCCAGCCAGCAGCATTTTGTCATGATTGATTGCAAGGCTGGTTGCAACAGTTGGGGGGCATTTGGCCAGGAGGACCTTTTGAAATGGAAACAAGAAAAGACTATAGAGAAGGGAGCCTATTGTTCCCAGCAGCATGGTCTTCTTTGTGGCCTTGTTCCTGGCAACTCTTCTTTCCAATATAACACCAGTGGAGCAAAAGGCCTCAAATTGGGCATAATGGGTAGTAAAGTTCAGTCAGAGGGCAGTTCAGATCTGCCAGACTGCGAATGTGTAATGGGCTTTGTGATCCAGGAAGTGATGGAGAGACTAGACTGCTTCATAATTATTGTCAGGGATGCTCTGGAAGAACAATGTGCTGGTCACAATTGGAGCCATAAGGTTAGATCACTTGCCTGGGTTTAACTATTCAATGGGTGATTGTGAGGATGGACTGAGACAATATGTTCAGGATGGTTGGGTCACTGTAAATACTCAATAAGTGTAAGCTGTTACCATGGTAAGTCAGGCTGGTTAATAGGGCCAGAGAGGAGATATGACTGATAAGATAATTTAAACTAGCTATCTATAGGACAGTAATCACATTTGTTACACTCAGGCACTTTGCTAGGCATTTTACGTATCCCCCTTCACTCTCATATCAAGTATATGCAGCATTATCAACATCTCCTCATGATGGAGGGAGAAATTACAGACTCAGGGAAGCTAAAACCATTTTCTCAAGGACACACAGCTTGTCAATGCTGGAGCCAGATTTAGAAATTTGTCTGATTATGTGCTTCTTCCAAGGGCTAGTTTTTTACAGTACGAAGAGATCTGTGTTAGAGAGAAATGGGTTACAAGGAGAAAGGTAGAACTTTGGAACATAAGGAGAGAGAAACATAAAAATATCAGTGCAGGGTCCCGTCTTTGGTGCTCCCAGGACACTGTGTGCAAGCTTCCGTGGCCTATTCCATACCGTGTTATACTTATGGATTTATTTGGGTGGACTTTCTAGACTGTACACATCTGAAGAGTAGGGAGATAACTTTCTTTCCCCAGTGCCTTGTACAGTACCTGACACTTAGTAGGTACACATATATGTTAAATGAGCTAATTTATTAAACCAAGCCCAGAATTGTATGGTATAGCATGCAAACAAAAGACAAGATGAATTAATGGCATTGCAGCAGAGATTTCTGTACAGCAAAGCAGTCTGTATTATAAAGAAATCAGTTTGGGTCAACCAGTTAAACAGAGTGATATACACAGTAACTTGAATGCAGATTCATTTGTGCTCATCTTTGAATTCCATGAATTCTCGGAAAAATGCCTTTCACATTGTAGATAATTACAATTTAAAAAATTGATTTCTAAAACTAAGATGACAGTTTAAATTAATGTATGATATTTGTATCTTGGTAGGAATTAATATTTCCATAGTTGTTGAAATTTAATGTCTTTAAATCTTGATATATGAAATGTATATGCTATTTGTCATTTCAAGGTTCAAGTTCATCTCAAAATCAAATCTAGGCTCTGGATAAAAAGGGAAAAATGGAAAAAAATTCTAAGCCAAATGTTTAGATATTGGAGGAATATTTTGCATGATATAGAAACAGCTTAAAGTATAATATTTGATTTTTAAACCACAAACTCAGTGCTACTATGAACATTACATCTACCTTTGCAAATGGGCAAAACCAGCTACCCAGCATTCCTCTGATAACCTCGGTTAGTTTAGATTTGCAAATACAAATTGAAACAAGACAGAAAGCCCTTGGGATGCTCGGAAGTGGTATTGATAATACTAAGACTCTGGTACTTTTACTGTGCTGGCAAAAAATACTAATAGGGTCAAGCAACTGAGAACTCAATGAGATGAAAACAACCAGGAGTGGGAAGGAGCAGACTGGGGTGAGGGTAGCTGGGAAGTTAGTATCAACTTCCATCTAATTTAGGATTTGGATTAAAAAGCAAAGAAGCTCAAACCTGCTTAAATCATGCTGCCATCTGTTGTTCTGATGTGGCATTTGGAAGAGTAAAAACACATGCTGGAAAATTACCAAGACAAAGAGAAAGTCTGGAATCTCAGTACAGGATTTTCCTTTGTGGCTAAAAGGCTGAGCTGCTTTAGAAACATTTGGATTTCTTTTCTGCCTCATCTGTGCTGCAAGGCATTTCTTTTTAAGCATAGATTTTGCATTCTGTATCAGAAGGAACCTCTGTGGATTAATCAGACATCATTTTCCAGGCTTATCCAGAAGCTACATCATTAAGGAATATAAATACTCGTAGTCATTGATTATCTAACAAGGAAAATTTAAAAAGTCTTAAGTGGCATATTATTTAATGAGCTGTCAAGTGTTCTCTTTAGCCCCAGTTTCCATGGAAATTATTTAATTCCAAGAAATAGTTCAAAGCATTGAGGGAGATTGCATGTTTTCAGAGCACCTAAGCAGAGAAGCAAAGCAAGAAGGATCTGCATCTTTGAATAGAACATTTTTTTGTGTAGCATGTAGCACATCGGCATTTACACCTTAAAAAAGATTTACAAAAAGCTGGCTAAAATGAAAGACAACTTTAATTGAAAGAACTATTTTTTTTGTTTTTTATATGCATGATTCTATTATGGATCAAAGTGGACTTTTTTTAGACATCAAAGGGAAATTATGTGATGCAAAAATATCATAATGTAATACTATTTTCTGTGAACTCCCTGTGTTATAAGAAGAGTTCCTTTCAATTCAAAGGAGTTAAAAGAATTAAACAATTCAAAGGAGTTTAAAAATTTTTTTTAAATTCAATTCAAAGGAGTTAAAAAAATTCTTTTTGGACCAGGCTAGTGGCAGTGGGCATGGTTTAGAATGTGACAGATATCAATGAAGTACAGTGCCCTCAACTCACAAGCAGCTTAATACCTTTCCTGTGTCACCTACAATCCATTTTACTATATTCTATATCACCCTCATTTAATTACCATCTCTCAATGGCAGCAGTGCCGAGCCTCATGGTGTGGGAAAATAACTTGAACTTCAGAGCCCGAAGTGCTGGGTTCCACAACTGGCATTGTTTCTCATTAGTTAGGAGGTTGTTGACAAGTTGCTGAATATCTCCAAACCTCAGTTTTCACATTTGTAGAATAAAAACAGCATCAGCTACCACAAAGTTGTAAAATTAAATAAGATACTTAGCAATGCTAATATCTTAGCAATTCAACCTTTTCCATCAGATAGCTACACATACCATCCTTTACAAAATAGCACTGTCACCAGAGAACATTCAACATCACCATGAAACAGTGACATGGATAATAAACCATTACCTTTCCTTTACTGTATTAATATTCCACAACTATGCAGGAAAAAAAGATGATGTCCCTCATGAATAGTCTGAAGTGAGGAGTTGGCCACTGCAAATGTGTAGGGCTTCTTTGTCAATGACACTTCATCACAGTGTTAACAAAGTTCAAATAAACACTCATTTTTTTAATGAACTCCCCCCCACACACATGCAAAAGCACTGTCATAATACAAAGACCTCTTTAGATATGGTGCCCAAATTCTCTTTCCCCTCTTTTTTTTTTTTTCCCCCAGTAACAGCAAGCTGATTTTTGGGTGATAACTGCCTACTGTTATTTGAGATGGATCCAGGTCTAAAAACATTACATACCTAGTTCCCCTGGCCACAGCATTTGATTTGGGTGACCCAATTTGATCTTTCAGCTGGGGCTGCAGGCAGGCAGGGTGGTGTAGGCCTAGAGTCTTGTCCCTCTGAGGAGCCTGAACATGAAGCCCATGGAGGAAAGAAAAGTTAAACATCATGGGTCTTGACTTTTCTTGAGCTCTTGAAGCCTGCATGTGCAAAGCTAAGCCCAGCACGTTTTAGACTTTTCATTGCATGAGCCAAGAGATGATCTTTTTGCTTTAGCAAGTCTGAATTAGTTTCTAATACTTCTAAGTGGAAGGGTTTTGACTAACACTTCCAAAGATGTAGGCCAACTTGG